AAACAGGATAGATTTTCATTGAAGGAGCTAACTTCAAATTGTAGACCACAGGGTTAAGTTGCACAATTACTTCGAAAGGACCAATGAACTTGGGACCAAGCTGTAAATGTTTAGTGGTTAGCCAGACTTTATCACCTAATGAATAGGAAGGAATGGTTCTCTGTGTCTATTTGCATTTTCCTTATAGGATTGTTGAACTTTGGGTAACGTCTTCTTCAGTAATTCTTGTCTGTTTTGTAGAGTAGACAGTCTTGTATTTACAGTTGGTAATGATGAATCTACCAGAAGTCCAGGAATAGAAGATGGGTGATATTCATAATTAGCAAAAAATGAGCTTTGAGAGATGAAAGTATAGGAGTTGTTGTAAGCAAATTCTGCTAACGGTAGATAATCAGCCCAATTGTCCTGGAGATGGCAGATAAAACAATGGAGATATTGATCTAACGTTTGATTGGTTCTTTCGGTCTGACCATTTGTTTGTGGATGAAAGGCAGTAGATAGGTTAACTTCAACTCTCAAAATAGAACAGAGGGTCTTCCAAAGCCAAGATGTGAATTGCAAACAAATATCTAAAAGAAACGAGCGCTAGGTCTGTGTAGTGAAGCAGCTTAGCAAAAAAAAGGTAAAACCTCAGAAAACCTCTTAGGATAACATCTATATATAAAAACAAACATGCAGCACTCCTATCAATGATATAAAACAAATGAAATGAAGACATATGTATATTACTCCAAAAATTACATATAGGCTTATATGTGTGCAAAATAGTGTATAACGCACACAGCTATGAGTCACCGTGCATAGATAAGTTCATGAATAAATTTCCAAAATTGAAACGTGAAGATGGGTGACAGTATTTGTAGCAAACAAACAATATTCGTGACATCAATGGTGAGGAAATGAGAATAGTATGCACTAACCAGATAGCGCTATATAAAACGCATGTAGATGAGATCATCTAGGTGTGAGCATCTGGACCCAGGTGTTCTGACTAGTGGCAACATCTATCACAGCATTTCAACAGGATTTCCAAATGGCAGAGCTCTGATTGTAGACCACCAGAGGGAGCCAGCAACCAGGATCTCTTCAGACCAGGTATCCCAAGGCGTATGATGTGTTTACCGACCACCAGAGGGAGAAAGAGCTCAGGGGAATATCCAATGATTTCCTAAGGGAAAATTGGCTCAAGCAAAAAAGAGCCAAAGAACAAAAATATCTAAGTGCAGCATTGCTTTATTCAAATGCAAAGAAATGGTAAAAATACAGCTCACATGATATGCAAAAAGCTTTCTAGAAAGATGCCCTCAGTGACTTTCTATCCACGTGGACCTCTTCTGTCTGGCCAACTGGCCTTTTTGCATATCATGTGAGTTGTATTTTTACCATTTCAATTTAATAGTCATATAGACCTTATAGAGGCTTATCTATTCTGGATAACTCCTCTTTTATATCCTCAGAAAGTTCTTTTCTAAAGTGAATGTGCTTTGCACTGTCGTTCCAAGTGGTATCAGTTACCCATTGACAAAATTTTGCAGCATATTCACCAACAAAACGTATCCCTCTGCACAAGTTCAATAACACAGGTTCAGCAGTTGCATTGCAATAGATATGAAGACGCCCATGCTAGGGCCTTATCAATTAGCAGAGATATTATAAAGCCTGTCTTGGAGCATAGGGTTGCAAATCAGTAAGGCTGCAGCTGAAAGCAAAGCCAACATTGATTCAGGAAGCCTCTAACGTTTTGGATTCCCACTAAATTGATCAGGCAAAGGGAGGAAGTTAGGATCACTGTTTATAGCTGTTTGCTGTTGTTGCTGCAAAAATTGTGATTGCAATTCAGCAACCTTTCCTTTTAACTCTTGCGCTTGTGCTTGTAAGCCTTGAATCATCTCGGCTTGTTTTGTAACAGCCACAGTTAGCAAAACAACATGTTCACTCAGAGATTGTGAAGTTGCAGCAGTCTCCACGTTTTTAAGGCCAGATTATTCTGTTAGGAAAATACCTGTAGAGAGTGAAAACCAATGGCCGTGAACGTCAGGCTAAGCACCGTTCACAGTTCTTAACAGGTTGAATTGTCTGAAACACTAGACAGATGATCGGTGACAGAGTCACTAACCAAGGTTGATGCAGGAGAACAGATTCATAGTGGGGGGCACAAGCCAAGGTTGATTCCAAGTACTAATAGTAGTAGCTCGAGGCTGCGGACAGAAATACTGAGAAGAGCACAACAATCTGGGAACAGGAAGTGCAGAGGTATGTCTTAAATCGGGAGGTGCATAGGAGAAGCAAAAAGTTCAAGGTTCAAGACAGGATCGTTCAGGGAACTGTCCAGCATTCCAGGTGGCTCAACAAGAAAAGACACCGCCTGACACAGCAGAGCTCCTGGGTTCAAACCTAGTCTTCAACATCCTGCCACTGAGCCATAAAGTGATCAGAATTCAATAAGAACATAGACAGCAATAAAAGAATTTCTTTAAGAAACTGGGAACATTTTGAAACCTTTGTCAGGTTTTTATATTGCTGTCTAAGCACGGAGACATTCTGTTCACTTCCTGTGTGGTCAGATGGATAGGTGGCAGGGCTAAATCTCCTCTGAAATTACACAGAAAATCATTTTATTCAAAAACTTAAAGCAAACAAATACACGGTTCAAGCACTAAAGCGGAACTTAACTGTATCTAAGCTCCACAAATTGAAAAACACTACTTATTTTATTTTTAATATTCAAAGCTTACTCCTCCATCCATGTCTCCATGCTTTATTTTGTTCAAAAATCAAAATACCCCCCCCCCCCTACAATTTCTGGCCACACTTATCTTGAGCAAGCCAGGTGATTCATGTAGCATTTACTTCTTGGAATCCATCTGCTCTTAGGTCAGGCATGCAGATAGCACAGATAGCCCCTCCTCCACATGAAAAAAAAAACAAAACAAAAATGACCATAAAAGACTCCTATGATGTATGGCATAATTTATGTCATACATAATGATGATTTAGGCCTAGGCCAGAAACCAGGAAGAAACTGAAAAAAAAGGGAAATATAACATACCTTCCTATTTACTAATGCTTGCAACATAAGGATTAAAAATAGTGAAGCATAAGTAAAGACAACATTTTTCTTTTTTTTTTTTTGTTATGGATAGAGTGGAGAGGGATTAGAACACCTGAGTTTATATTGCTGTAGGTCTCACTCCCTCTATTTGTCTTGTTTGCAGTTATCATGGAAGGGGAAGGTGACAATAAAAGAAAATCCCACATCTTTTGGTTGTCATCAGAACAGGAATAGAGGGGAAATCTTCTAATGGGGACAATAGTTCTCACTCACTTTGGAGGGATTTCTTTTCACTTTCTGTTTTGGCTTTGGGACAAGAAGTGAGGAGAAATTTCTCCAGAAGGGACACAGATGGAACAAAAAAAAAAAATGAAAAAAAAACTGACAGGTGTTAAAACCCTCCCTTATTCTATCCTAAATTAAACAAGATTTTGCCTTTAGTTACATTTTAATACTGATTGAGAGAGTTTAGTTCTGCTTTAAATTGACACTGAACAATATCCTTATTCTCCAAATATAATTCATACATATCCACTACTTAATGGCCTTTGTAATCTATTTTTCATAAAAAAAAAAAAAATGTTTCTGCCTCTCCTTTTCCACCCATTACTTACAGTCATGTGCACTGCTCTATGCACAGTACCTATAGCCCATAATCCATCTCAGAAGCGAGCAAGAGAGGATGGCCATATTGCTACATACAGTGGAACCTTGGAAAAGAAAATATAGCCACCCTCTAATATAAAAAAAAAGAAAAAAGGAATTTGAACATTTAGAGGAGACTGAGAGCAAAAGACGAAGAATATATATGTGAATATTTGTTTTACACCAGAGTTTAGTGTCATTTTAAGATCTATACAGACTTTCAGGAAAAGCAGTGAGTCACTTGTGAGCAAAGGGATGGAAATTCTGTGGTGTTTATATACTGCGTTCTGTTGCCCTGGTTGCAAGGACAAATGTTTACAAAACAGTAAACATAAAATTGCTTGTGTAACAATTATATAAATGCTAGAAAGCTCAAATCTAACTTTTCTTTTTTTTAATGATTACAAACTATGCGTACCTCTCTTTTGGAAAGCTGTCTATTTCACAGTGTTGAGCTCTCCTTCAGCAGTAGCCACCTCCCTTTTTGGTTGAATGACACACAGGGGTTTATTTACTAAAGCTGGAGAGTCCAAAATCAGACTCCCTTCTGCATAGAAACCAATCAGCTTCAAGGTTTCATTGCCAAAGCTTCATTGAACAAGCTGAGGGTAGAAGCTGATTGGTTTCTATGCAGAAGGGAGTCTGATTTTGGACTCTCCAGCTTTAGTAAATAAACCCCACAGTGTCATTCAATTAGGCCATGTTAGCACAGGCTGTCATAAACATACCCCTGGTCTTCATGATGCTCCCTGTGTTCAATGAAACAGAAAGTTTACAGCATAGCGTTCACACCTCAGGGTATTCAGAGGCATGAGCGCCAAAAAAGCTCTGCGTTGGAACAACAGAAGAAAAGACAGCGGATGTTGTGTGATGGCAACTCTGCTTTGACATTTAGGGTAAGTAAACTTATTTATTAAAAATGACATGCAGGAGTGTGTTAAGGTTAGTATACGAATGGTGTTATTTGTAGCCAGAGTTAGGTTTTAATGAAAGTGACAAGTTTTTATGCTAACTACGTTCAATTTAGGAGCTTATCAAGGAGCAGTAAAAATTGTGCACATGAATATATGAAATATCACTCCTGGAATTTAAACAGCATTCAGTCTTCTGTGAATTATGCTGAAATAATCTGTTTAAAGTAATTTGAAAGTACAGTAATGTATATAATAACTGTCACTGTGTACTATGTTTTCCAGAATACTTAAGTGTTGCCAAGATGAATGACACCAACAGTTCCATCGAGAAATGTGACTGGTACTTCCACCGCAACACAGCAAGAATTCTGCTGCCAATATTTTATAGTATGATTTTTGTGTTTGGACTCTTTGGAAACATATTGGCTTTGTTTGTTATCCACAAAAACAGAAGAAAGCTCAATTCAACCACTCTCTACTCAAAGAATCTTGTTATTTCGGATATATTTTTTGCGATCGCCTCACCTACCAGAATTGTATACTATGCCTTGGGGTTTAATTGGATGTTAGGAGAAGCATTTTGTCGAATCACTGCCCTCTTCCTTTACATTAACACTTATGCCGGAGTAAACTTTATGACTTGCCTGAGCATTGACAGGTTTCTGGCGGTAGTACATCCACACCGTTTTAGCAGGATCCGGAGGGTGAGGTCTGCGAAGATCATCTGCATTGTGGTTTGGCTGCTAGTCTTTCTCCAAACATTCCCTCTACTGCTAATGGATATGTCAAACAAGGAGCCAGATGATAAGATTACCTGTATGGAATATCCCAACTTTGAAAAAATACCGAATTTGCCATTTATGCTTTTGGGCGCATGTCTCATTGGATATTTAATTCCTTTAATAATTATATTGTTCTGCTATTCCCAGATAAGCTTAAAACTCTTCCAGACCGCAAAGAAAAATCCACTGGCAGAAAAATCTGGCACCAACAAAAAAACAACCAACACAATCATTTTAGTCATTGTGGTGTTTTTTGTCTGTTTTACTCCTTATCACATTGCTATTATACAGTATATGTTTAAAAAGTTATCATATGACCCTGACTGCAGTGAGAAGCAGATCTTTCATGCCATACTTCACATTACTGTGTGTCTCATGAACCTTAACTGCTGTCTGGATCCCCTCATATACTTCTTTGCATGCAAAGGATACAAGAATCAGATCATGAGAATATTAAGGAGGCAAGCCAGCATATCATCCTCCAGTGCCACAAGACCAGCAGCTGATGGAAGCTCACGTGATATCACTGAAAGCCAAGTAGCACAATGCATGCCGCTAAACCACGAACCAAGTAACAAGCAAAGAATAACTAAGGGCAATGGTAGCAAATAAAGACCAATATAAAAAAATAAACTCAACCAAAAATGGACAATGTGTTTGTTGATGAAATAGCTGGTATATAATATGACAGTTATAGCAATGCAACAACAGTCCTTTCTCTATAGAAAGAAGAGTATTGTCACCCTGTCAAAGAAGCGCCTATCTAGTGGTTCTATTGGCAGGGTCAACAGATATTTACAAAATGTTCCAGGGGTTACTCTGAAAAACTAAAAGCCCAATCTTACTGGTATGGACAGCCTGATTTTATAGTTTTTACCCGTAGTTTTGCATTTAAAGGATACGTGACTTTTTCTGTTTGGTTTCATCGCAATATTTTCCAATATTTCTACAGCTTTTTTTAGAGGATCACAATGGGAAGCAGCATTGTTGACAATGCATACTGCTAAACCACAAGCAAATCAACACGCATTGAATTACTAAGGACAATGGAAGCAAATGAGACCAATACAAAATACACAAAAATGTTAATGTAGCCTAGACATTAAAAAGAAGACTATGCATCTGGATTGTCCTACATTGTTGGAGGCATAAACTGTATGATATATGACAATTATATGAAGTCTTGGGATACTCATTACAAAGATGGTCACTGAATTTATTTTGAGAAATTATTTTCCAATGATACAAAGACTGCAGGGTGCATGCGCAGGATGTAGCATAGAAAATGCACAAATGTACGAACTGTTTCCATTTACTGCTAGCATATCATACCCTCCAACATAGTGAGGAAAACAAAGTACACCTTGCCTAGCACAACTCACCCCCCCCCCCCCCCCCCCCACCTGTCATTGAACTGTGGACTTCAGCCTCAGGTGTCCATACCCTAACTTGTTGTGTGGTAATGTGCATGACAATACATTTTTTTTTAATGGACCACAATGCATCAATGCATGGTAACATACAGAGGTGTCCAATTTATCATTACAGCACTAACTTGTGTGGTAATGTAATTGCCATGGGTTTGCATTGTTATACATTTTTTTTTCTTTTGTACCTGTGTTACCACAATGCATCAATTTGCATGTGTAAATACTAAATTTGAGGTTTTGTTTTCCAATAATTTTAATAGCATCCCAATAAATGAAAAGAGTAAGAAAAGAATGCTATTGTGCACCATATTGCACAAGTATGAATGTAATGTGCTGTGTTGTTGGTCCTTAGCCAAAGAACAACAAAGAAATATATGATCCAGTTAGGTACCAGCTTAAGGAGGTAAACAGTATACAAGCATATAGTTTGAACAGCTCATCTGGATCACAGGCAGTCCCTCTGGGTCACAAAATAGTAATCAGTGAGCATGTAAAAGATTTTCCAGATAAAGATAAAAGCTCCTGCAAATAAACTGTAAGCCAATCAAACCAATCCTTCCCTTAACCTGCAGATACAGTATTTATCTCCTGACCGCTCACATGCATAGGGATGCCCATTAATTTCAACAGACTGCACTTTCTCCCTGCATCCAAGCTGCTTGTTCTCAGTGAGGCTACCATGTTCTCTGCAGCTGCTACTTTTTGATACTTTTAGAGAATAGTATTCATCTCAATTTTGCTGGCCATCAGGCACTCTCAATCAAGGTGGCAAATGACAGCTGCACAGCAGATGTTTCCACTTTTTTTTTACTAGAATGAAACAATCATGAACATGTTAAGGAGTGGAGACAGGTCATCAAATAGAGACTGACAAAATGGTCCATGTGTGCCTGTAACAGTGTTTTACAGATTGGAAAGTTCCTCCTGTACCTTAGGCCCTGGTTCACACCGATGCGGCTTGTCATGCGATTTGACTGTTCCAAATCACATTACAAGTTGCAACCTATTGCCGGCAATGGAACCATTCAAATTGATGCGACTCCGACAGAGACTGAGTCGCATCAATTTTGCAAGTAATTCATATGAAGTAGTGTGATTTCAAAATCGCATTCAGTGTGAACCAGGGGTAAAGCGGTATCAAACCCAAAAACCAAAATGTATTAAAAACTGCATTCCATGTGGTGGCTGCATTTGTTTTCTTTTTTAGGCTTTTTTCCTTCATTTTAAATGATGATCTGTCCAGTAAGTCTGTTATTTTTCAACATACTTTAGCAGAATAAGCTGTCCAAGTGCATGAGAGGGTTCAGACAAACCCATTTAACAGGAGAGCTTACAATGATCAACTTTTTTCATTTATGTAAAATCTTTATCACAAAAAGGAAAAAAAAACTGTTTGCTGTAACAGTTTATAAAGTTTTTAGCTGGAGTTCAGCTTCAGCTTGTTAGTCCATCTAAATCTGCTAGTCTAGGAAAATGCTGCTGTCCAAAGGTGTCTGCTTTACTACTTCATCCAGAATGCTGACACCCTAGGGCCTCATGCACACTGTGAAACTCAAAAATGTTTTTTTTTCCCCTACAGGAGTTCTCAGCATCAAAAATGTGGTAAAAAGACACTTTTTTTTGCATGCGCATTAATGCCCGTTCATGCAAGTCTGGTGTTAATGTATTCTGCTGGCCAGAATTCTTGTAATTAGAATGCATTAATGCGGGAATGCGCATTAATGCGCCTAGAGGTAATGCATGCCAATTAACATTTTTTATGCTTTTATGTTTTGTATATACCTGTGATGGTTTTCTTCTGCCTGTAAATCCCCCTACCATTAAACTCCTGAAAACGCCTACAGTGTGCATGGCCAAATAGGCCAACATAGAGGGAAATTAACAGGCAGAGAAAAAATAGCTCAAATTCCCATAGGAGCAGCTTCTTTGAGTTGCAGGGTGTATGAGGCCTAAGACAGAAAGTGTGTTATTGGCTGGATCACCATGTGAAATAAAAGGGAAAAAAGCCTAAGGCCTCACTAACATTTGAGTTGATAACTGACAATTGCGCGGTATATATAATGGGATTTTTTTAATGTTTTATTTTTACTAGTAATGTCGGCGATCAGCGACTTATAGCAGGACTGCAGCGGGCATTCTAACACTGAGGGGAACTGACTTGGTGTCACTGACATCCCCAGTGACACCACTTCAGTGATCAGCGCTAAAAGAAAAAAAAAAAGCACTGACACTGTACAAATGACACTGGACAGAAAGGGGTTAACATGAGCGGTGACCAAAGGGTTTTACTATAAGCTGTGTCTGTGTGCTTCACTGAAAGCACACTGCTTTGGATGGCTGTGCTGCGCACAGCCATCCAAAGCAGTGCGCACGAGCTGACAGGGAGGAGAACTGCTTTGTTTACAAACAGTTCTCCTCCCCGTCAGAGATGCTCAGCAATCACCGGGTGCCGGCGAGTAATCACCGGCCAGGACCTGGTAACTGACAACCGTGAATGGCGGCAAGAGTAGGGCAGGCGCCCCTTAACCTGGAAATGCAAAATCATGTATATGAATGTGATTTTGCGCACCTGTGCCACGCTGTTGCAGTATTTCTTGAAGCGGTTAAAGCACCTATCGCTTTAAAATGCATTTTCAAGATGTGTTTTTGATGCTTTTGTGAAGCTTTAATGAAGTTTGGCAAATGTCCTGTGTGCTTTTCTATTTGTTTTAAAGGGAAAGTGATGATGAGGAAGTGGCCAGATTTGAGGTGTGGTTAGGTGTTGATGTGGTAGCTGGTGTTTATGATGGCTCAGTAGTACCTCTACTCATCAGTTTGCTGGCTCAGTAGATCTCCTGCACAGTGGTTCTCTGTCTCAGTAGTACCCTGGTTTAGTAGATGCCCCGCTCTACAGTTTTCTGGCTCAACAGATTCCCTGCTTAGCATTTTCTTGGTTCAATAGTACCCCCTTCTCAGTAGTATCCCCCCACCACTCAGTAGTACAGTCCTTCCCTCTCAGTAGTAGTATCCCCCACCTTGCTACGTAGTAAGATTCACAGTTAGAGAGTCTGCCAAGTGAAATAAAATGTTGAAAATAGCTTAAAATCGATCTGTAATATTATAGTAAGCATGATGTTATACATGTTTAACTATTAGCCACCAGGCCAATGGCCGTTTGGCAGCTGGCAAAATCCTTCAGCGTTCTGGGCGTCCTCCTGGGCATGCGCAGTTTGTGCAACCTGCAATCACAGCAGGTCACATGACAGTTGTATACAACAGATGGCTTCATTCATGCCATCCATTGTATACTAGTGTGCCTAGCTGTGAATGGTCACAGCGATAACATGCACAAGCTGGGCCAATCACAGCTCAGCTGTGTCATGTGATTAGCCATGGCCAAATCACAGCTAAGCACAAAAAAAAAAAAAAAAAAGCCCTGAATGAATCAATGTCATTCAGGTAAATGCTTGCTTATAGCAAAGTAATTCTTTGCTATTAGCAAATTGTGTAAAAAAAATACTGATCACTTCCCCATAGTACAATGTTACTATGGTAACACTGTACTACTTTGGTCAAAGTGAATTATGAAAAAAAATCTTACAAAAAAAAATGTATTAAAAAAAATTAAAAATAAAAAAAAAAAAATATTTTTTTTTTTTTTATACTGTCACCAGTCAGTGTCCCTAATCACCGCCATGCCAGTTGTATGATGATGCTGTACTGCACTGGTGACAGTATGTAAAAAAAAAATTCGCCATGCCTCTTATGAAGTACGTCGGACTGTCTACTTTGCAAAAAAGGAGTCATTTGGGGGATATCTATACTGTTCTGACATTCTTGGACCTCAAGAAATTAGATTGGCTGTCAGTACTTCAGGATTGATCAATATTCAGATCTATACCATAATTTGTGAACTCTATAACTTTCCTACAGTCTTAAAAAATACATCCTAATTTGGGTTATTTTCACCAAAAACATGTAGCAGAATACATTTTGTCCTAAATTTATGAAGAACAATTATTTATTTGCAAACTTTTATAACAGAAACAAAGAAAAAAACGTGTTTTATTTTCAAAATTTTCTGTCTTTTTTTGTTAAATTTAGCAAAAAATAAAAACCCCAGTGTTAATTAAATACCACCAAAAGAAAGCTCTAGTTGTGTGAAGAAAATGATACAATTTTAGTTTGGGTACAGTGTTGTAT